ATATCAAAAAAGTACTCCAGAGTGTTGTTCAGCATGGGGGTGAGTAGAAAATGAAGGCTAATCATGTTTTGGGTGTACTATTCCTTTAAGGGCTCGCTCTGGAACCAGAAGGTGTGCTACAGAGCTGCCTATATAGGTGAGGATGTGCCCCTTCTTTTCTTTCCGTTCCTGCCCTTCAAAAAGTCTGTGCATGCCACTGCTCTGTGTCTTTTTTTAGTATTTGGTGCAGCTGAAAAACAAAATCTTAAAGCAGCTCATCAAAATGTTTCCCGCTGTGCATTTATTATAGCTGATCAGCAGTTTCAATGGAAGGCTACCTCTCCTTCACTTCCTCTTTGGAAATATAAAACTATCACTTTCTCCATGGCCCATGTACAGTGCTAGATTGTAGTACAGGAATCCTTAGTTTCAACAGGCCTCTTTCACGGTGTTAAAAATGAGGCTTTTTTAGTGTCATGTTTCTGAGCCTCTTCCTCATTTGCTGCATCATTGTTTAAAATGCCTCCAAAAACATTTTAACCATACATAAATTGTATAATCATGTTTAAGTCACAAGTGAAAGGTGCAGCAAAAGGTGACTTACGAACCCCCTCTGTGGAACCCCTCTGTTACAGGTTTGGATTGAAATGTATTGATTGGTGGAGTCAACAATGTAAGTTACAGATGGAGGGAGCTTGTCCAAATGTGAGGATCATCACATTGGCTAGCAAAACCTAAAACACAAATGGTGTCCTCATCGGATCTATTAACACAGCATGAAAACTAGAGATAAAAGATGTGCAGACAATATGTGCCAAAAACAATTTAATTTGTTAATTACAAAAACAACATGAACAAGCATGACTCTTCAAGTTTAAATTTCATTTAGTCTTCCATAAGGATTCTAATCATTTCGTTCCTTTTTTTTAAAGCTGATATTTAATTTCAAACATCTGCAATACTTTAAGCATCATTGTGCTGTTTCCCTCTAAACCTTCTTTCCCTTTGCAAACTTAATTGTAAAACCATGTAATGTATGATATCAGATACAAGTGACAATAACAAAGTTAAAGCATTGTTCTCTACATATTTAAAAAAATATATATATTTGGCTTTAACTTTAATGACAGTTTGATCCTGTCTCTCTTTACATACAGTACAGATAAACCTATTTTAACACAAAATGGGTTTTGTCATTCATACATGCACCTGAACATACAAAAATTATTTTATTTTCAATAAAGGCATTTTCTTCAGCAACACCATATATCTAGCTATAAGAACTTAAAGTCACTTTTCCTTTAGTAGAAGAAAAAAAAAAACATCTAACTTTGAAAAAGGCCCCAAATGAATGTATTAAACTCTAAGAAATTGATAAAAAATAATCTTAATCTTAACGTTTCTTTATAAAAAGAAAAAGCCTGGAGTGGTAAAACATTAAATGAACATTGGTTTAAAGGAGTGACAAGCTGTAAAGATCTGTATTAACTGCTCCATCTTGCATTTCTTAAGCAGAAAAATAACTTAAAGGTTTTCTTTACACACATTTTGCTTTAAGTATTTTATGCATCAGTGCCTTTTCTTCAAAAGAAGTAAGAGAAGATATTTGCCTGAGAAAGTCGAGTGGATTTAGTACCTTTATAAATACTTTTTTCTTTGAAGGTTATTGTTCACAGTTCAGAGTACAGTTCCTGCAGGGGTCCAGGAACAGGACCGGCTTAACAGAAGGAACATTTAATGTCAGTAATCAATACGCAGAGGAAACCGGTTATCACAGGTGACAGAAATAACTTGAAAGTATAATATTTTGAGTCAAATATTTGCATTTTTTAATTTTTATATACTTAAACCGACCTATCAACTGTTACAACACATTTCTTTCGATTAGAAAGGTTATAATCATTTTGAGGAGAAAGCACACCCTGTTTGAGGTCAAGGCTTTATGGATCAGGATATTGTCCAATTGGTGTTCTCTTTATCTGGATGTAACATTGCTTAAATCTAAAGTGTTCAAAAACATATACTAGACTTCATCAAGTAACATTGATTTTATCAAAGCAAGGCCAAATGCAAAAAATAAACATTGGGGAACATGGACGCCAGCTGCTCTCAGAGTCCTCAATTCATAAAACAACAATTGCGATCATAACTTGCCAAAATGGGCAAAACAAATAAAANATTTTGAGGAGAAAGCACACCCTGTTTGAGGTCAAGGCTTTATGGATCAGGATATTGTCCAATTGGTGTTCTCTTTATCTGGATGTAACATTGCTTAAATCTAAAGTGTTCAAAAACATATACTAGACTTCATCAAGTAACATTGATTTTATCAAAGCAAGGCCAAATGCAAAAAATAAACATTGGGGAACATGGACGCCAGCTGCTCTCAGAGTCCTCAATTCATAAAACAACAATTGCGATCATAACTTGCCAAAATGGGCAAAACAAATAAAAAAAAAAAATTTTTAAACAGCACAATTTGCAGCTGTCTTGTCACTTGTGAATGCATCTGCATAGGAAAGCATGTTAGCCAAATATCAGACCACATGTCAGCCAAAGCAGAGGCATAGCAAGGTCATTCAAGGCATGAGGAAACAAACCAGATTTGGTGAAAGGATTTAAAGTAGGAACAGCAAAAACAAAAAGTTTGCTCTAAAACAAACTTTAGTGATGCTGTAAAGGGAAGTGTTTCCTACAATGGAGATGATTAATTCTTACACAGCAAACTTCATGTTATTACTACTAAAGGTGGAAGGGGTTTATTACCTGTAGGATCTCTGTATAGTTTTCATTTAACACCAAACTTCCTCATGTCTGCTTCACTTTTAGATCAGTATTTGATTTTGGGCTTTATTTCACCTTACGTAAGTCTTTAGAAACCTTTAAACGATCAATATGACCTTATAAATCCCTGCATTTCCAAAAAGCTACACTTCTGTCTTACACTAACACAAAGAAACCAACTGTTTAACACATCATCAGCTTTCTAGGTGTCGATGTACTTTAAGTCAACTGTGTGACTGTTGCGGATGGAAAATGGCCTCCAAGCCAGAAATTGCAGAATGGCGATACACATGGGCACCAGACAGACCAAGTAGAACATAACACTGTGGAGGTTTTCCAAAGCACTAGAAATGAAATGGAAGAAAAACAAAGAATTAATTTCATTTCCAGCTCTTTTTTTCCTCATAAAACACCTTTATTGAGCAAACATATTCCAAAAGGTCTTAAAAACGTTTTCTAAAGTTATATTCATTAATTGAATCTAATATATTGGGACTGAACAACAATTCAATATCAACATCTACCTTCATATATAATTATTCAATTAACAATTTAATTAATACTATCAATTGAATCGCCAATATTTCAATATAAACTACAGCATTTATCAGTGACTGACATTCTGGGTTGATATAGCTTTATGAATTCTGTTTTTCAAAGATAATATTTCTAAAATGTTGCATTGAAAGAGTTTTATAAACTAATTAAGAATAATTATCATAAATGTGTACAGGCATCTGTTGTGGGCATTCTTTATTTTGTCTATATCAACATCAAGCTTATATTGTAATAACCAAAATTAGAATATCATGATACTGAGGAAATGGATGGCATGGCCAAAATTTAATCTTGGCCATGCCATCCATTCCAAATATTCTGCAATTTTCTTGTATACACACAGTTTCGCTATTTGGCTTTAAAATTAGGTTACCTGTGACCTTTGAACTGAAAGAAGTAAGTCATTATCTATTAATGATTTACTATGTCGATGCTAAAGGTAAAATAAAGTCAGTTCTTGCTTCAGCTCCCAGACTGGGATTATTTTGACAGTGTTACTTAGTTGTTTATTCAAATAAATGTCAGCGTTTTGTCAGTTCGATCTAAAAAGACAATTTGGAATAAATGACAAACAGCTCAAATACTTGATTTGAATAAGACAGAAATAAATGTATATATAAATTAATTGATTCAAACTTCAAATCATTTTGTAACAGAGCTTAACAAAACTAATATGATCTTTCATATATTTTGTGGAAAGTATCCTATTTTCGGAACATGTTCCCAGTTTTCTGGCAGAATTTGATTTTCTTCTGTGCAGTTAGCTTAAATTCATTGCAATTATTATCAATAACAATAATATATTGGTGAAAATGGGCAGATTAAGTGTTAACTTAAGAAATTAAATCTATACATTTAAAGGCTAGAAATTATTTTTTTTTAGATATTCATTTATAAAAGTTAAAGAACAAATAAAAAAATAATCATTGTTGTTGGAGCAATGAATTGCATATACCTTTGATTTGACTCCTTGGCCACATCTTTCAGCTCCTCATACCCAAAGTGGTTTACGATATTAAGGACTATCATCGGAGCCAGAGACTGGGCTGGCTTGGTGAACAGAGCATTAGTTCCAAACACCATGGAGGAGAGAGGAGAGCTAAAAAAACACAAAACATCAACAAAATCATATGAAGTTCATGTAATCCATTTTGATTCCAAACAAAAGCCTCCACTAGCTTTACAGGATCATTTCAAAAATTAAAGCCAAACTGTTATCTTTGTCAAATCAAGCACATTCTGACGTTAAAACAGCAATCCAATTTGCATTTTCAAACAAAACTAGGGAATAAAGCTCTTTGAAAGAGGGTAAACCTCATTAATTGAAGGGAACTTTCAATACTCTTAATAAAAATACTGAAAGTCTGTCAAAGAAATTTAGAAAATACATTATTGTATCAAATTTAATTTAATGCCTTAAATGTAGCAGGTGTTTTTTTTTTTTTTTTTTTTTTACCTGCGCTTGTATTTCTGCAAATCTACATCGATGATATCAGCCAGAGGCAGGCCAAAGAGACTGAAGGCTGCTTGTATAATCACCCTGCATGAAGGAAAGAGAACAGAAAATTAAAACATGCTTTATGTTATGCATAGAAAACAGTCAACAGTATAATCAAAGCTGCTTACATATTTATAGTGAGGAAAAATGCCAAGAAGTAGTAACTTTGAGGACCAAGTGCAAGCATGAGGACTGCCATTCCAGCCTCAAAGATAAAGGTGTAGAGGATGATCCTGTAGTAGCCAAGACTTTGCAGCAGACTCTGACCACTTAGAACTAAAAGCTGGAGAGGATACAGTGAAAAAATATAAATAATTATAGAAAATTAACATATAGATGCAAAAAAAAAGAACACACCAACATGTCAATCCTTTAAATGCAAAAAAAGAGCATTAACCTGTGGTAAGATGAATCCAGCCCCATACATGAAGCTCTTGGCTAATGACGGAAGTGCATCTGGAGGAATCAGGTGCTCGGTGAATATCATGGTGAAGTTATTTAAGAAAGCCAACATGAACACCTGGAAGAAGTTCATGGTCACAAACAGCTGAAAGTCTCTGTTGGTGAGAATCTGCCATGTCTGTGTCTTTAACATGGAGAAGGAGCATGCTGGTTTATGTGCCGCCTGGTCGGCGCAACCCTGAACATCTGACTCAGATATTTTACCATAATCAAAGCGGCTTTCACTGTGCATACCAGTGTACATCATGCAGATGCAGCTTATTATGGCAATCAGCACTGTGAATGACTGGAAAGCTGAGAAGTTTTCCATGTTTGTGGACACCATGCCACAGAAAAGAACACTGGACGACCCGATGAGGGAAGCCACCTGAGACAAAGACAAAAAGAGGTATAAGTTGGACGTACTGTACTGACTTTAAATGGACCAGGGCAGCTATGGTGGGCTTACCTGGCTGTATTTTATGAGTCTTAAACGATTCTGATGTTGGCTGGAAATCTCTGCGAATAAGGCACACTGTGCCAGCAGCACGAAAGTCAGCATGCCGTCAAAGGCACACAGCGCCACTGTCAGGTGTAAACCATTCATCCAGTCATCTGGGGAGTAGGAGCGCCACGGGAACCAGGCAATGAGAAAAGCCAGAGAGTAGAGGGGAGCGCCGTACAGGATGGAGAGACGTCGCTGAGAGCAGCAAGGGACCCTGGAGTTATCTTGCAGGTAACCAAACAGAGGGTCATTGACTGCATTCCACACCATGTACACCACCTGTGGGGAGGAAGTATTTAATTGTTAACAGGTACGGCCCAATGCATTCACTGGTGAATTTCTAAGAAATGCATTTAAAGGACTAAAGGATTTTTTTCTATTTCGATTTTTTTCGATTTATCGAGCAATAATCGGATAGCCAAAGGTTCCTTAAAGAAGATTTATTACGAATTTAAACCAGGTGAAACTAAAACTTTTCCACTCGAGGAGTTCTGGATAGAGCATATTGACAGATGAAAAAGTGTTTATCTTAAATGCAAAATGTTTAAATATTTTTACATTTTTATTTCAGTTTTTCTAGTGTTTCTAACACTACATTTAAACTGATTCTTAAAAACTTGCAAGGACAGTCTTATCAGGATTCAGGTGACTGAAGTAAACAACTCATACATATTCAAACAAGGCTGGGTCATGGATTTGCATCTGACTTGGTATAATGGAGGATCGGCCTCCATGTTCTTAAGAAAAATGCATTTTTCACTCCAGGTTGCTCAGCTGCATGCATTCAGAACTGAAACTAACACCCATAGGTATGAAAAATACATAGAAAAACTGAGTTCAAGACAGACTGCCTTTTTTTTTAAAGAATGTTGTAGTTGATATGACCTGGAAAACCCATAGAGTCAGGCTTCTAATAATTTCTTCCAAAATTTTAGCAAAAAGAAGTCTTATTTAAAACCTATCAGTAGAAAACTAACATTTCAAATCAGTCTCAACAAATTGTCCCACATTATGGTGATTTAAAATATGTAAATTCCCTTGCAATTCACTTAGGTTCTCATCACTTGGCGTTAACTTTAATGTTTTCTTCTAAAAAATATATATACTTCAGGTAATGACATGACAAAATGCATTACAGTTCAGTAATATATGTATCTTTGCTTCTTACTGTACATCTGCTTCCCTCTCCTTGAAGGCTAGTTAGCCTCAGCAGATGGCTGCTCATACTAAGCCTGCTTCTGCTGGAGGTATCCTCTTGTTAAAAGGAAGTTTTTCCTCTCCATTGTCGCCCCATGCATGCTCAGTGTAAGGGACTGCTGTCAAGTCAATGAGTTGATGCAATCAGCTGGTTTTCTTTAGATATAAACCTTGAACCAATCCGACTGAGTTGTCTCTATAAAGTGCCTTAACATATGTGGCAGTATATAAATAAAAGGGTTTGCATTAATAAATATTTTTGCATGGTGACAGAATTAAAAGGTTAAAGTCTGATAAAAAAATGTATATCAAGAGATTCATAACAAATTCTGAATTAAAATACCTTTAATTGATGGAGCAGCTGCAATTAATGATTTTAATAACATTTTAAGAGAGAGAAGAGGTTTTCTTTATGCTTACAAAAATCCAGGAAGCAAAACCTTTGAACAGAAGAATCATTACTAAGATACTCACTTGTGACTGGTGGAAAGCTACTTCAGATATATTGTACTTGTTCAAAAAGAGTTTGACATAGTAGAAGCTAAAAATATTGTTGATCATGGCTGATCCCAGTGTAGTCATGGCATATGCAAAAGCTGCATGGTTGATCCCAAAGTTCATCCATAGTCGGGCCATGTTGCTGCTGGTTAGTCCTCCTATGTCTCCAATACGCGACTAACTAGAATAACTAGTTCACGTTATGCATCGCAAAAAGCAACACTCATTTAAAGGATCTTATGGAGGAAAGGCGCGTTTAAAACTGAGATGTTTTGTTTTTCTATTTTCATTTGTAGGTGCGCCTTTTCCCGTCAACGTCACCATTGGAAAGAATAAGGAAACGAGCAGCAGCCAGCAGAATCTAAACAAACTTAATGCAGAAAACACTTCCGAGTGGTGTTTAGTTAGGATTGAACACACGACTCATTGGGTGGTTACAGGAATTTATTTCCTCCACTAAGTCATCTGTGATTGGATGAAATGTATGCCAGTCATCAAACAGTAAATGTCCGCCATATTGTGAGTGGCTAGTTTCCTTTTGAAAACGGTACAAGCAAGAGTCATACATGATGCATGAAGCTCCTATATATATATATATATATATATATATATATATATATATATATATATATATATATGTGTGTATGTAAAGAGATAGATAGAATTCCTCTGCATATTTTTTTTAAATACATTTAATTTACAAACACAAAAGCCTTTATACCAGTTAATTATGATCATTTGTCTACTAAAAGCTATTGAAAAACATTTAAGATTAGAACAATGCAGGACAGTAGATCAATAAAATATTTTTTATACAAAAGTATGCATTGAAGAAAAGTATGTTTGATAAATGCACAAAGGTTGTTATCTTAAAAGGGTATTTTTCACCTTAAAAATGCCCCTGTCTGGATCTACCTTGACAATATGCCCAATACAAAACCTTTTGTTGAACCAAACAAAACCATTTTAATTGCTTACATATCCATGCTAATATACATATTTACTTACCATTTTTGAAAATGCTGTATTGTTGCAACAAAAAAAAAAAACAGTATTATACGTTTACATGTGGGCTGATGGTTGCTTTTGTTGGTGAAACCTAAGTTTTACGAATGGGTTGTCTTTAATAGAATTCTATTGATACATAAAACACAATTATCTATCATTATTATCATCATTTTTTATTCTGACATGCCCTTCACAATATGGCGACCAAGTCACCAGGTTTTTATATCTGAGTGTTAGCGCCCTCTAGTGCCATTTAAGGAAAACAGCGCGTTGTTGTTTTAAACCCTATAAAATGTTAGACATTATTGCACATTTCATCGATCCACTTTGGATAATTCAGACGATGAGTTCCAAAATAAGAGAAACAAAAAAACTTTTCTTATAAAGAATTATTAACTTCCTCGTGTCTCTTTGCTGCCCCCTACTGGTTTCCTGAGGTACATAAAGGGTTTTGCCACGTTGCTCTGGACAACAGAAGTTAAAGCCGCTCTCACAGAGGATGCATACCGTCTGTAGACCCGTTTGAAGACAAGGGACGCGACTCTGAGCTACGGTGTCACACTGGCAGTTTTGAGTTCCTGTTTTCTGTAAGCTGGAAACAATTCAGCTTGAAAGATGTTGACGGATATGATTTTGGAAGAAGAGTTTGAGAAGAAAGTGGATTCCTGGTACAACCAGCAGGACATTGAGGACGGTAAGTGCGCTCAGCTGGAGGAGGACGCGCCCTAAAACCGCGTCTGGCTGACTGTAGGCTGACAAGTAGTGGCTACTCACATTAACCACTGGAGCTCATGCTTTAAATGCTTTAAGGAAATCTATTGTTATTGATAACTAAATAAAGTAGCTGATTTGCAATTGTTGTAGAAAATAATCTGGGCTACTCTTTAGACAGGAGCGCACTGATCATGTGTTGGAAGATTAGAAATAATTTAGACGGGAAGGCGCTTTGTTTAGGACTTCCTCTGGCTGTCACATCCTCTATTGTTTAACAAAAATAAGTCATAAATCTATGTGCTTCCATCATAGCAAAATGAATTATTTAAGCAGAGTTCACTCTTAAGACTGCATTATAATATCTAGATCTAAAAAGGCATAAAACTGCAAAAAGCAGAGGGAAAATAAAAATAAAAACTAAATGTATATAAATATATAGTTGTCCTCTAAAGTGCAAACATTTTTGGATATACTTTAAGATTAATTATATATTGATGCTATGATAAATACTAGTTCCAGATATAATGCATAGTGTATTCTGCTGAGGTCAACCGAACTGCTGTCACACCTTCAGTTTTAGAAATTAACATAATGCAATAAACAAGTTGCAGCGGTCTGTATACCCTTAATTTAAATTGCTTTGAAGTTCTGTGAAGTGCATTAATTTAGAGCCAATTCACAACAAAGCATGGCTCAGAGTTTTTAGAGTAGGTCACCAAATGAGAACATATCTTTTCAGCTATCTGTAGTCGACCTCTTTGTTGTGACAGTTTTTTATTTATTTATCCCCCGCCCACTAAAACTGAGGTATTTAGAACTATTTATACACAATTCATTCATCTTGATTTACAAACTTCAGCTCTGGCTAAAAAATAATGTAAATGGTGGCCCTCTGTGACAAGCAGTATTATTGTATTGAACTTTAAATGATGGCAAACCTGGAAGTTATCTCTAGAAGAAAATCATTCTTTCTTACAACCAGAATCCTTAGCTCAGACCTGATGCCAGAAGGTTGTTGTCACATGTAGGTCACAAGCAGCACTTGGGGGCAATACCTTCAGCTCATTTCGTATCATTGTTGGCTTATTGGCAGCTTCACAACTTAATACTTTGGACGATCAGCATTGTGCCAAGTATTATTATTCTTTTCCCCATACTATGCTGTGTATATGTATAGCTGTTAATCATTTTGTGTGCTCTTCATTTGCACATTAAAGGTCCTGTTCTCCAACTTCTCTGGAACTTATAGCTTTAGCTATAGAATGGTGGGCAGAATACTTTGAAGGTGTCGAAACAACAACTGAACTTTATTTTAGGCTAATCGGATTCAGTATTCCAGAAGGCTGGCCTAATTCTACCATAATTATTAGTTTATGGGTGTGCACAGTTATGCAACCAGGGGATTGATGTTTCTTTGGGTAGAATTGTTCTCTAATTTATTTATTTATTTATTTATTTATTTATTTATTTATTGAGTCCTACATTATATGTGAAGTAAGACCTGTTATTAAATAACCATAGATTGTCATATGTTGTGTGTCCTACCATGATTAGATAACAAACCTATTGAAATGTACGACATGAGAATTGGAAAAGATCAATAACAAAACTTTTTTTCATTATCTATTGAATAAAAAAATTGAGTGCATAAATTTGATGTTGTTTATCAAATCCTTTGGCCCCTTTAGCACATATGTTGGACTCTAATTTACGGAGCAGAGAGCATCATAGGGTGTTTTTTAAATGCTGTTTTAGCTGCTCAGAGCCTGACTGGCACTCGTCATTTTCTGAGTTTAGAGAATGGGATTAGTACCGAGTTACTGAGATGTTTATAACTAACACAGGTTAGATCCTTCCAGTTCCAGTTTGCTGAGAACATTTTGTATAATTTTAGAAAAAGCATTAATCTGTGGAATTATTTTTAAAAGTTGCAAAAATCATTAAGGTTATGATTAACCCTAAATTTTAATAATCCTGAATTAGACAATGTCTTCAACACTCTGCATGATCCCCCTTGTCTCATCATGGGAATTAAAAGAATAGTAGAGTCCTTTCCGCCCTCTAAATGTACCATAGATGGGAAGAGTGTGGATGCAAGACACTTGAATTATTATACCTATTAAATTCTGCGCCCAAGCAGATGTTGTTAGGATTTAATATACTGTGCAGCTGTACTACTTTGTTCAGTCCAGAGAAACAGAAAATTCTGACAGCTAACAATGTCCAGAGCTGGTGGGAATTAAGCAGATGCAGAGTAACAAGGCATTCCGAGGATTATTCCAAAAGTACTGAATATTTAAAGTATACAATGAGTTATTTGTGTAAGTAATCCTTACATAAGGCCAACTCCAGCCTGTTTCCATTGTAAAAGTTGTGGTTAATAATTTGTTTCTGCTTTGTTTAGATCTCCATCTGGCAGCAGAGTTGGGCAAAACTCTCCTGGACCGGAACCATGACCTGGAGCAGGCCCTGCAGCAGATGTATGCTACCAACCAGGAGCAGCTGCAGGAGATAGAGGTCAGAAATGTTTGGGGAAAGAAAAAACAACAGCTGCTTTGACCGTAAACATTCAGTTATGTAGAACATCTGACCGTGATGCATGGTGTCATAAATCAACAAAAAAACAGGATGGTGAAAAATCTAATCCAGGTTAATCTGACTTTATGAGGTATTTGGAAAAATCTTAATTGACCTAATTGTGTTTAAGAATATATAACAATTAATTTTCACCAGAAAAATAATTTTTTTGCAGAATCATTAATTGAATATAGCTGAGGTCGGGCGGTTTCTTGGTTAAACAGCATTATTTTTGCTAAAAGACATCCAACATTAAAGCTTATATTTTGCTGCCAGATTATCTCAACCTATCCACTCTGCTGATCTGTACAACCTGGAGGACACGCCATCCAGTAGGTCAGCAGATGTAAGAGTCTTAATTTGTTTACAGCAGGGAGAGAGTTGCGGCATGAGGATTTATTAAAGTTGTTATGCTAATCCCAATACTTCTCTATGACCCTTGTACTAATAAGTCTGGCACTGCAAGGACCACATGCAAAGCTGCAAGTACACGTGAGCGGGGCTCCATGAAGCTGGAGTATGTTTAGCTCAACTAGAACCAACTCTGAAAAACTGATGTTTGTATAAGTGACATATAAAAAGGCGGATGTTGTTGTAATATTTCACAAACTAACTGAACATTTACTTAGAAATCACTGAAGTTATGCAATTTTTTTATTTGTTTTTTATTTTTTCATGAAAGCTGCTGATTTTGTTATCCAGTTAACAGAAAAGTCTTGGATGAAATTGTTATTTGGTAGTTTTCTGTTATTATCAGCTGTAAGGCATCATTAAAGCTAAGAAAAACATTTAATCAGTCTTATGTTTGTACATTTTTACACTTGTGAAGGAATAATAAGGATATTTAATGTCTAATAGCTGATATGTAATGTCTAATAGTTGCTTATCTGCTCTAAATTGTAACAGAGAGTTTAAGAGATTGTTTTTATTCCCTTCTCTCATCATTTGGCTCTATGCGTGGTGGCAAAATCAATAGGGGTCTGTACAGATAGAAATTAGTTTTAGACTTTTTATGATTATTAAAGCGCTATGGGGAAGGGAAAATCGTCTGTCACAACATTTATACCCCAGCCACAAAGGACCTCTAATTTAAGTTATTTTTTTTTTCTATTAGGTTTATTCTAAAGAAATTCAAAGTGGTGAGAGTTATTTTCTCTTACAGATTTAACACAACTAAAGTTGAGATTTTTTGAAAGGTTTTATTGGGAATATATGCTACTGCAATGAAAGCTGTATTTATTTGTACTCATTTTTGTCAATGAATATTGAAGAAGATGCCGATTTGAAAATGCTAAATAATCAGATTCATCACTGTAGAACAAATGTACATTTGAAACAGGCTCTAAAATAGAATTTCTAGGTTGTTTTTTAATCATTTACCTAAGTGAAAGAATGAATCAGTACCTTAAGGTGAAGCCACAGCTTCTAAAATGTTTTTTTGTTTTTTTTATTTGTCAGTCTGCGGTTGGATTTCTGAAATGTGAACAAGTAATTTTTTTTTCTTTTATATTAGTACCTGAGCAAACAGGTGGAGCTCCTGCGTCAGATGAATGACCAACATGCTAAGCTGTACGAGCAGCTGGACATGGCTGCCAGGGATGTGGAGCAAAGCAACCAAAGACTAGTGCAGGACAACCGGCTGGCCCAAACCAAGATCACCGGGTCAGTTAACCAACACACCTAACCTTTATCATATTAATCCCTATGACTGTTTTAAAAGTTAAAACATTTGAATGTGGTGATATTTTTCTTTTTTATTCCAGTTTAACAGAGACCATTGAGAGCCTCCAGAGCCTCATAGAGGAGCTGCAGACCCAGATGGATGAGCTAAAGGCGGCTCAGGCAGAGAGAAACAAGAGAGAGCTGGCAGAGCAGCGACGTAGTATTGGAGCACAGAGTGTGTCGTGTCTCAAGGAGCTGTATGACCTCCAGCAGGACAGGTAATACTCACGAGGTGGCTTCATTACACGATGCAGCTGCAGGTGTAACCTCAGGTTGTGATGGGAGGACTGCAATCAAAGAGGAAGTGGTGAGGTAGACTGGAACAAAACGGTTATGTAACAAAGCACTATTACCTGCAGAGTAATAATGAACTACTCTGCAGCTGATTTGTTATTTAACACCAAACTCTGTTCATATGAGCATACAATGGGTGCCAGATGAAGCTGCTAATCCTGTTTCATGACCCTCAGTACTCTCAGCCTTTGAATGCTGAATTGACATCTGCAGATCACCCAGAGCATGTCTGCAGGACAGGGAAGTTAATCCCTCCCTACTGTTAGCACTGTGCAAATAAACACGCATAGAGCTGCTGCTTCAGGACAGGTGTGACCATTGCAAGTAGTTATACATGTGACCCTTTTATATTTCTCTTTTCACAATTTTTTATGTGTTTTATTAAGATAAGTAATGGGCCAAAAAAATACTGACGTGTAAGGAGAGTTATTGTCAAACACCATGTTAGAAATAAAATGAGGAAAAGCGTAGCATACTTAAGCTCTTAGCTTCCTTTACTTTGACATGCTGCAATAAAACACACCAGACAGGACAGGGGTGGTCTAGAGCTTGGAACATTTTAGAGTACTGAAAGGAGCTGTAAAATTTCACAGCTCAGGTTATTTTATTTTTATTTTTATTTTTTGCAGAGGTATAAATTAAAACAACCATGAGCCCCATTTGCAGTTTCCCCTAATCCATATTTGAGAAACAGAAAACATGATTGCAAAGATCTTCAGGTCTAAATGTTACTTTTAGCCCACATGCAAACCATTTTGTGTAAAGTATACTAACATTGCACAGCATATTGTGAGAACCATACTAGTGTAGAAACCTGATGGTGGAAGCGTCATACCCTGGAAATCTAATTCAAAGAAAGGGAACTACTAACCAGATTTGTTGAGAGATTGGAAGTAAGGTGAAATAAATCTAAATGATACTCTGTGACTGAAACCTTCTGTACAAAAATAACAAAAAGAAGAACAAAAAAGCTTTAGTTAACAAATAAACATTGATTTCAGATGACTTTCTATTGAAACATTTTTAATAGGCAGTGTACACCATACTTTTCAGATTTTTATTTCTAAAAAAAAATTTATTTACTGTTGTGAATCCAATTTACAAGAAATCCAACTGAAACACTTTTTTATTTTTCTCTTCCACAAAACCTAAACAAAGAACATTGCCGGTTGTGTTTGGACATTTTAATGTGGACTGTGTGCTATAGTTTTAAGTGCATTTTTCACAGAATCTGTATTAAAACAGATTAAATTGTCTTCTGCAAAGGTAAACTACAGAGTAATACATTTTTGTTTTTTCTTTTCTTTGGTTTTTTCTCAGGTTACAAAAATAGATGATTTTTCATTATAAGCGTGCATTAAATGCAAATTTCTGTCCCAGGTATCTGACTCAGAGCGACGGACTCTGGTCTCCTCAGAGCTTCCTCTGTGACAGAGACAGAAGCCCTGACCCAGAGGAGGAGAACCAGGCACTACAGCACTCCATCCAAACCCTTCAGAGGCAGATCGCCACAGAGCGAAGCCGTAGGGAGGCTGCAGAGCAGGAGATGGAATGCACATCAAGGGAGAATAGAGGCCTGGAGCAGCGGCTGGCCCGGCTAGAGGGCTGCTGGGCCCGGCAGATGGAGCTGGAAGAGGAGGTGGAGCAGCTGCGACTTCTGTGGCGTGCCAACAGGTTAGAACTGTTGGCAAGTGTTTCTGTTTTCATTATTCATGCATTTAGTTCTGTGTTTAGTCTACTGCAACCCTCTTTCTACCCATTCGGGCAAATAATACATTTTATGCTTCCAACTATTCTGAACCAGCATTCAACCTTCTAACTTAATCTAGTTAAGACTCTAATTTCATCCTGATGTTCCAGTATTCTCCGGGAACTTGCTTCCTGTCCATTTTAGCATTAGGTTACGTGAAACTTTCTTTCATCTGCACCTGAAAGGCCTGGCTGCTGATATTTTGATGTAGTATGTATAACTTTTAATTCCTTGTCTTATTTAGCTCACCCCATATTTTAATAAATTCTGGGCAGCCAGGTTTCCTGTCTCTAACGAAAAGCATTCCCACAGCATGATGCTGCCATCACCATGCTTTACAGTTGGGTTAGTGTTTTGGGATACATTCAGTGTCTTTATTCTTTCACGTCATGGCCCTCATTTATGTGGTAGTTTTGGAGGGAATCTGATTTTTTACTTTATTTTATTGGGGTGTTAGAGTAAAAGGATATGGATGCATGCTGGGGTTTTAGATTTATATCTTTAAGAATATAAACATTTTTTTTTACTGTTTTTGTGATACATAATGTTGGTGCATACCATGAATTTCAAATAAAACATATTAAAGTGTGTGATTGCAAAAAGGAGTTTAATTAGGTATCGGTATGCTGTGAATTGCAATTATTTGAAAATGCATCCTTGTTTCTGTTTTCTCAGCAAATTCAGAAGACCAGAGCAGCTCCTGCTGCCTGAAACGGTGTTTTTTGCCTTTGAAGAAAGGCAGAGTGAAGCAGGCAACCCGTCAGAGAAGGAAGAGGAGCAGACAAAGCAAGTTCGACAGAGGTGTCACAGCGACAGTGTTTTAAAGGCCACAAATACAGACGAGCTGCGCCGTAGTCACGAGCAGCTGTGCATCAGGAGGGCAGAGGCAGTAAAACAGAGAGGCATCTCTCTGCTCAATGAGGTGGACGCACAGTACAGCGCCCTCCAGGTTGTTCATTCACAGCATGTCTGGGTTTGGATTATATCTAGGGAAGCACACTAGAACACTTATTAACAGTACGTTTGTGTTTTTTAGGTAAAATACGAGGAGCTGCTGCAGCGTTACCGTCATGCAACAGACGGATTGAGTTACAAAACTGTCCAGGCCTCCAGCGGTTCCCCTGCCAACGCATGGGCGCGCCGTCGCTTCTCCAGCTCGGCTGTACCTTCTGATCTAAAGGTTCTTCCTGAAGACGGCCAGCAGCCTGAGTACAAAGTTCTCTTCAAGGAGATCTTCAGCCGCATCCAAAAGACTAAAGAGGACCTCAGTGAGAACAGGCAACCGGCAGGCAGCCATAATTCTGCAGAATGACTGTCCTTACTTCATCTACCCTAGATTTGCTTTGATTTCTGTTCAGGAGAGACACTGAATATGCAAAAACTGCGTGTTTTACACTGTTGTTAGTTTGCACAGTTTTTTTCTTTCATAATGATGGAAAAAATCAGGAAACAGGAAATAGATTTAAAGTAATAGCTGTGTTTCACACAAACAGGGGAAAAAACAAATGTAGAACAATATAATAAAGAAATGATGTACATGGAGATCTTTAAAAATGCATTTCAAGCAGTCCATAAGTATTATGTTTTTCAGTTGTATTTATTTCATTTACCTCATGATTCCTTCTGATTAGAAAACAAAAAGCACATGGTTTATAAGAATGCATTATGTAAAGGTAAATTTGTAGCATCAGAAACAAAAATGTAACTGTAATATTGGGATATTTAATGAAAATCACAAGTTTGTTGGTGCATAACTTTAAAATTGTAGGGGATCAACTTTTTCTTTTATTTATAACAGTTCAAGCATTATTGTTGTACCACAGGACACAAAAAAAGCTCTGCACATTTTATTTACCAATTGATGACTTTTCTGTTTTATTTATTGATTACGATATATATATATCAGTGTAGGAAGCTTTCTTGTGGAGTCTGTTTAATTGATTAGAGGTATAAATGTGCTTATTTATACTGTGTTGTAAATATGTCCTTTAGATATTTTATTTAAAAGTTCATTTTGTTAAAGACAATTCTAATGAAAATGATAGGAATCACCAATGTTCAGACCTCAGTTGTTACAGCCTTCATTCAAAAATAACTGTCACGTTAATCTTTTTACCCTCACCGTATGTACGTTTCAAGAAAAGATGTTAAAAAAATAAAAAGTATTTAGTTTATACTTTGTGTTCCTGTTTCAGCTTATTTTCCTATCAGGTGGAATAGAAGTGGAATAGAAAGGAGTCCTTGCATACAGAACTTGCACTCATCCCTCAAGATCTTTATTTTCTACTTTACTTCTGGCACCTTAACTAGAATCAGCAAAGTGTTTCTATAAATGCGATTTCACCATTCTGCACTACTTTTATCCAAATCCTCTTAACCTCCAAACAAAGAGACTGTGTGCCAACTTCACAAGAGACAGACAGGTCTTTGCTAGACCAGTGTATGCACACTCATCTCTCACAAAGGTATCATGTAATTAATGTAGGAGTAAAGTTACAACAACAGAGAGCTAGGATCAGATGCATGGTTTCCAGTCAGAACCTGTTATATGTTTTTATGTCACAAAACATTTCAGATGATTAAACTTTAAATTTTAAACATGGAATTTTATAATTTGGAGGAAAGCATAAAATTTGCATCATTGTTTACATTTGCATCATTGGGGAGAAGGAACGTTTTTGGTTATGTAACATGTTTACATTACATTTCAATCTTTGCTTTCGCTTAAAAACCTAAGCTATTAAGAGGATCACCTGTTGGTGCACTTTTCATAGGCAGAAAATTACATAAACAAAACCGAACCTCAAATGTGAAGGTACATTACATCTGCAAATTGCAACATGACCTAAGTTTAAGAGAGAGTCAAAATTCATAAGCCAAGTGTTGCAGTAGAAATAACATGATACAGAGTGATGATTTTTATGTCTTCCTACAACAGCAACCTTTTGGATAAAAATACAAATAAAAGACCATAATTTTACATGGGGCATATCTTTTACACATTTCAACTTGGTGATACTATGATAGAGATTAAGTTCTCTCACAGTGTGCTGTGAGTTTGATGGCACTTCAACTCAATATAGATACGTTATTGGTGATTTAATATTTATTTTAAAGTTAGAAATATATTTTTAAAAAAGTAAGTATTGCTTAGTTTTTGATGGTCATTAGCACTTCCGGTTTTTTGGAGGAAGCTTACTGCTGTTCTTGCTACTTGCATCATTTTCTTTCTGCGGTTGCAGCATTTCTTTTTTGTTTTTAGCATCTTGTTTGTGGTTGCATCCTTCTTTGTTTGCATCTGTTTTGTTAATTGTAGGTTTTTGCTTCTAGTTTTAGCGATTCAAACAGTTTTTGTAGAGCTTTTGTTTTTTTGTGTTTTGGAGTTTGCTTTTTCTTTTTTTTTTTTAATCGTGTTTCGCGTTTACTGCGCGTTTAGACCTGTCGGCCATTATATAAAACCAGCACTTGATAAAGACGTTAAGTAAATGCCTTAAAAAAGCTATAATACATTGGATCTTGTGACGCGAGATCTATATATATATATATATATCTCCATTTATACATCAATACATATCTGTTTTTATATCATAGTTGTGGAGATCGCCACAACACGGTAGCGTGGCCGAGTGGTCTAAGGCGCTGGATTTAGGCTCCAGTCATTTCGATGGCGTGGGTTCGAATCCCACCGCTGCCAAAGTTATTTTTTGATCCGCTTATAATTTTTGTTTGTTAGTGTTTACCGAAAATATACATGTCGCAAAGAAAAAAAAAAAAAAAAAAAAATGCACAAGCAAAGTAATACCTGGATTATTTTGGCTGCGTTTCTTATTATAATTATTAGCAGTATACTAGCGCTCTCTTGTGGACATTTTTTGACTAGCTGTTGAATTATTAACCATGTCAGGTGAATGTTCTTTTTATGCTTTTTCTTATAACATTTTTAAATAGCTTTAGCTGTGTACATGATAGCATACGATTTGGCCGTACTGGATGCTTGAGGGGTCGGGGGAAGCCTTAAGATTTCTTAAAAGCTTTTATTTTCAAATCTTGAAACATTTAATTAGATAACCAAAACCAAAAACCTGACAGTTCCCCCTTCTTTGTGCTGTTGTGTTTTTTTTTTTATTTTTTTTGTAAAGATTAATTAATAATTGACAGAAAAAGTATTTCTCTACAAAAATAAAGTTCCACATAACCATCCGATTTATAGATGTCCTATTTATTGACAATAAAGAACTAGTATGTAGTATATTTTGGCTGGACAATAGACCTGTCCAGCCAAAATATACTACATACTAGTACTACATGGCGTCATTGTACTATGGCGACACCTGCTGGTCATTTAAATTACCTGTTTGTATTGTCATAGAGTGAAGGTAGATTTGTTTCTTTATTATTCAATAAAAAAAAAAAGGTTGCTTCAAACGAAAAAATATTTTTTCATTTAAAAACACATTCACATCATGAAAAAAAAAAAATTCAAATTCAATCAAAGAAAAAAGTATATAACAGAAGTATATAACAGAATAAAAAAAATACATTTGAACACTGCCTTTCTTTGATTGAAAATGCTTTTTTGATAGAAGTTTTTTTTTGTTTTGTTTTGTTTAAAGAAACTTTCTTAATTGAAGTAACATTTTTTTTTTGGATTGGACCATATAATTGGTAGGACATTTGTGTCTTTATCACTTAATCAAAAAAGAAGTTGCTTCAAACAAACAACAAAATCAATAAAAAAGTCACTTCATTTCTTTTATTGAAAATATTCTCTTTTATCGAAGTATATGTTTTTGTGTTTGGGCCTTACATGGGTAGGACATTTGTGTCTTAATCATTCATTTCCAAAAAAAGTTGTTTCAAAATCAAAAAAAATAATTCAATTAAAGAAAAGCAGTGTTCAAGTGTACTTTTTTGATTCTCAACTATATTTTTGCATTCAAATACTTCTGTGTTTTTAATTAAAAATATATTTTTATTTGAAGCAATCTTTTTTGTAATGGAATAATAAAGAATCAAATCTACCCTCATAGTTTTGTCTCTGATAAACTCTCTCACACTCCATAGAAAGACTCCCAGTAAACCCTGTAGCTATATATGTACAATACCTGCTTTAATTTAGAACAGAGGTATAGGTTACGATGAGGGCAGGAATTACAATAAAGGAAGTTTCTCCATGCCAGCCTGAGCAGAAAATGAATATTTGAGGGCAACTCACAGGCGGGCATGGAAATCACACCAACCCCTGAAACAAAATATAGAATAGTATTTTAGAATAGAAAATCAAACCATTTAATTGTTTTTCGGTTTTTGCACACAGCAAAAAAATGGGAGAACATCTCATTTTTTGTTTCTGCTGGTGTGGTAATAGAAAGTAGGCCTACATTGGTCTAAAAAGTACCTTGTCCCTTAAAATACCACTCTGGGAAAATATCTTAAAACTGATATTTTTATATGGCAATGACTGAAACTGGAAAGAATAGTTAAAAAGGCACTTTAAAATATGATGCATAAGATTTCTGTCAGCAAGATGTAGCACAAAATGAAGACAAACCCAAGAGATTAAACAGAAGCAATCACTTTTCTGTATTTTTTTTAATAACATAAAATGTTTGACTTTGATATTTACTAAATATTTCATGAATCATAATTGTTTTATTTCTAAAAGTGTACAAAATAACTACCTTAACAGGGATAATCAGTCACTATAGAACATAATTATACAACTGGAAGCATGCCTTAAATACAGTAGCTGTCATATTGTAAATATTAGTAATGCAAAGTGATACATTGTTTTAATCAAACCGACCAAATACTTACATTTAACTTGGATTTAATTAAATTAATAACTTAAACATACTGGTAATCAGTTTCAATACTTTCAAGATAAAAAAAAAATCTTAAACAGGAGGCTGATTTTAAAAGGTTGAAGAGGAATTTTTAAATAGACCTACACTGGGGAACTATAGGTCTTATTTGATTGGGAAACATAGAAATAAGACACTTGATGTGATACATTCCCCACAAATAATTGTTGAGATGTTTTGCACCAGTTATTTTTGAAAGCCTTATCATTTGCAATCACAGCATTTAGCTCTAACTCAAGATGCCGTAGAATGTGAGCAGCACCAGGCTGAGACCCAGCAGTAGCAGGACGCCCCATTGGATCATATGCTTGGTAGAGGACAGGTTGAGATGAAGAGGAGGAGCAGGAGACCGTCGGCTGGTGAGGTAATGCTCTACGGAGTCTGCCAGACTGTACAGCTTTGGGCGGTAACCCAGCTCTCGGCAAGCTTTATCGATTTTGAAGGTGTGGCTTACTGTGATGTTTCTGACCTGCAGGAGAATATGGAATATTCAGAAACTTTCTTAAGCATCTTCAGGTAAAATCCTAATAAACCCAACTTGTCCAACAAAGGACCTGGTCACCTTGTGTGCCCCCTGATAAAGAAAAGCAGCAGGGGAATTTCCCTTCTTCCTAACTGTCTTTTTTACCTTTTCGAATGCACACACCTTTTACAGAGAATCAGCAAAGTTTTTTTTCTTTAAGACTCAGGGTAAGTATATCCATGTGCCTGTATATTAGAGACAGCACGGCCAGAGAGTTGAAGACTACAGAGTCTTGCCCATCCTGTTAGACCTGATGTTTGCTATGAGTTTCTCCATCTACCTTTCAATCCTTTCTGACATCTTCAGGTTAAAGGTGATTTTAAACAAAACAGATATACCCAGCTGTCTTTCCATCCTCTGCTGATTATCCGTCAGGGTCACACGCCGACCAGGTCACCACTCCGTCACAGGGCAACACAGCCATGCACATATTGGATTGGACCCAGGACCTTATTGCTCCAGAGTGCAGCAGCTTTCAACCCCTATACACTATTATATCAGAACTGTTTCACTTATTTATTGAATATTTTTTGTGATCAAAGAATAATACCACACTAAAACATCAAAACTTTCTGCTCTGACCCCTCAGCGGTTTATGTTTTATTCAGAGGGGCAATCATCGATCCCGGCGCCCTGCAGCAGCTGTCTGACAGAACTAGCTCCAGCTAAAGGTGCACTTTGGTTTCGGCTTCATAACACATTCATGAGGACCCGACTGGTCAGCAAGACTCCTCAGGACTCACCATTAAAGCTTCCTGAGGCTGATTTCAATCAAAATAAACCTCCAAAATTCAATTTAGCTGATCTTACTCAGGTGTATTTCACAAAAATGAAGTATTAATTAAAGAACAATCATCTCCCTTAACAGCTTCCAGTGGAACTTCTGACTCATGTTTATATTCAGGCAATTTCACAGTCTGCTATTTCTGAGTGATGTGGATACTTTTATTCAATGCTTTTAGCTGAAGGTTTAAGATGGATTTTTGCAGACAGAATGCATTAAAATCAAAGGATGAATAAATCTAAAAGTTTTAAATTTCCTTTAAAAAAAATTTAATATTGAAAAGAAAAATAGACAATGCAGTAGCCAGCAAACATATTCAAACCATTTTAGTTGTAAGGTCTACAAAATGAAAACCACAAACTACAGTGTATTTTTTTGGGATTTCATCTGGTTGACCAACAAAGATACAACACAAATGTGTGAAGTAATAAAAGGTTTGAACTTTATTTTATGAATAAAAAGAAGAATAGGGTGTAGCCACATTTTTACCACTTATTAAATAGAGTTGAGCAGTGTGTAATTGAATGTCTTTATAAATCCATCTGTTCTGTAAAAGTCTTTGAGGTTTTTTAGAGAACCTCAGTAAACCAACAGGACATTGAAGTCAAATAAAAACAGTTAATAGGAAGTTGTGAAAAATGAATAAAAAGCATTCAAAGTGTTTGAGTTTTTTTCCCCTTTGCCGCCAAGGGGAGCACTATCCATGGAGCCCCATGGTAACTAGGGGAAGTTACAGAGATCCACAAATCTGGCTGAAGATATGATTTTAATTCTGTATAAAGACAGAAAGATTATGGCACAGCAGACAAGGTCATCTAGAGACTGAATGTTTTAAAGCAATATTGGCCAACCCCATACACTGGAAAAAGTGACTTTTGGTGCAGTAAACTCTATTAAGAGTATTCATCATAATTTCTTCTCTGTATTTTTAAGCTTCAGTTAAAACTAGAGTTTCTGAAGTAAAATTAAACATTTTTTAAATGCAATACATGCATTTTGGGGACAGAGTAAGTTTTACTTAGATTTCCTTATACTATTTAAATGGTTAATAGCAGTATGTTAATAGCAGTATGTTAATAGCAGTATGTTAATAGCAGTATGTTAATAGCGCACTGTAGCTCAAAGCAGGACTGATTGTGCTTCCGAATCCAGAGGTTACAGGATCACACATAGAGCAAGAGGTCGTCCTAATGACAGTCTTTTTTGGCAGGGTGCAATAATACTGAAAAAGCCTGCTCGCTGCTCATAGGAATGATATATGCCCTGAACTTGACATATGCTCCCACTTTGTGCTACACTTTAGAAGTCTTCCAAAAACGTTTCCTGCAATTGGATGGATTTAAACTGTCCCAAAAAATAAACACCCTGAAGTTGAAGTTGCTTTCCTAAGTGCATTAATGACTTTATCATCTTAGGGTAAGAAAATGCTGCATCAAATGATAAAAAATCAGTAGTGGGTTCCATTTAAGCTTAGTGGAAGTTTGCCTGTCATTAATGTTTTTTATTTTTTTGCCTCATAAGGTATATATTTTGCAAAAAAACAACAGATATCTTTATCCAAATATCTAGTATAGATTTTATTCTTCATTGAGAATGGTTAGACAGTTTAAGCTGTTAATTTTAATTTTGTTGATCTTGTTTCATTAATGTTGTAATTGCATTTTTAAAATTCCACTAGTCTGGACGACTGGTCTAAATGTTGAAATTACACTGTACACTGTTTTATTGTGTAGGTTTGTAAGATTTTCATTGCATATTTGAATAGCGACCATATTACCAGACTGTATTACCAGATCTGTGTTGGATGTGTTGTATATGAAATACTGTGTATTTGTTGTTTAAAAGTCATACCAACCTTATATTTTTTCGGTACAGATTCTAATACAGTGCAACATAATGCACTTTTATTATATTTGTGCATGCTTTTTTCCATTTAAATGCATGCATTATCTTTATACCACTGCTGTGGCTGTTTCTGTTCTGACCCTCACCCAGAAGTTGTTTAGAGCATGTTTGTATAAGTCCAATATTCTTGATTTTACATGAGTATATTTCTGTAATGAATGTTGAAACTCTCTGTTTAAGAGGGTTGTACATTTTTTATTGGATATAAAAAGCAGCCCCTTACTTAGATCATTTGCATGCAAATACTTACAATTTATTTTTTTATAGTAATTCTTATGAGTTGTTTTTTGCAGTGTACAGACTGGATGAAAATTATCTCCAAACATTACAAACATACAATTTAGGTATGGTCTTTGAATGGACCATTGTATAAAATAATGTCACTTTGATTCAAACCGTTAAAGCTCTGTTGGGATGTGTAGGACTGTTGTCCTGCTGTAAGACATTTCTCTCAATCTCTGGTCCTTTACAGCTTTTAACATTGTTTGCTTGTTTTTTTGTGTGTGTTTGTTTCTCATTGTCTTATTTAGATACATCAATGTATCTACTCTTATAAGTTATAAGAGTAAAACTTATTAGAGACTTATAAGTCCCTCATCATGACGCTGCCACAATCCATTTTTCATTAATTTGGCAGCTTATAAGAGCATTTTTGAATTAATTTAGAGGCATCTGAGTAAATAGGGCTAACTTCATCTATCTATCTATAGATATATGTATATGTATATGTATATATGTATATATATATATATATATATATATATATATGTGTATGTATATATATATATATATATATGTGTGGGAGAGATGGTGTTTTAAAGAAACCGAGACGCAGGCCTACCTCACTCCTGGTAAACAGCAGAGGAACCTTGATTAATGGACTCAGAATCACATGTAAATTTTCCACCAGAATAGCTTGAAAGGAGGAAGATCAAAGAGTCAGCATTAGATCTTTATATTTCTATTAAAATGTCTAAATAAAGAGAAAGACTGATGAGCTACCTGCAGAATAGACAAGTGGAACTGGAAGATTTATCAATGGTCTACTGTAGCCCAGTTTTTCAAACTATAGAGGGAGACAGAAGAGTTAGAAGATTACCTAAGAACAAAGTTTTAATAATGCATTATTAATCATCACAAGTCATTGGGTTCACTCATAATAACACAGATTTTAACTTACCAGAGGTGTCAGCCACTCAAACAGATTGACAGAAATGCCATCATTAATAAAATATGCCTGGCCGCTCTGCAAAAGGGCAAAATATATATTTTTAAATCATAAAGAAGCAATTCAGTGGGTAAAGATCAAGGTATTTATAGAATTGTGACTTTAATACTCACAGAGATGCAGTTTTTCTTCTTCGTCAGAGCCTCAGCTGCAAGTTTGTGCGCCAGAACCAGGTTGTCTACATGGACCCAATTCATCCTGGCTGCTGGGTCTCCAAACCTGAAGCTGAAGAGACGCCGCTCCACATTCATCTGACCAAAAGAGGTGTTTAGAGGTCATTTTGTATCTAATGGATCTTTTAGAATTCCATTCATATTATTTTATCAAATTATTATCTTATGCAGAATTACAAGAATGCCCGTGTTAAGTTCATATCAGTATAATTTTGAATTTAAAACAAAGTGCTGATATGTAGAGCAATAAAAATTCTTAAAATGAAAGACATAAAAATCTGAAAGCTTATTTTTTTTTATTAAAAAGCTCCTAATTTATACAAATATAACAAAAGACTTAATAATGGGGAAAGTAATTAAATAATTACTTTCCCCATTGTAGGACAATAAAGGGATTTTCTATTCTATTCTATTCTATTCTATTCTATATTAGCATAAAAACATTACATCACCGACAGAAGACTTTTTATTTTTTATTTTGTCAATATACCAGATTTCAACAATTTAACATTGTAAACAGGAAAAAATGTGAATAGCTGAATTAAGAAAAGGTTACTTTTCTTAAAACAACCTATACAATTTTTCCCAACAATTTGCATTGAGTTTGGCTGAGTGAAATTACTATAATTTTATTAGTAGAATGTATCTTATTTCATTAGATTTAAAACCACCAAGAGAACTTAAGTAACATCTACTCAGACAAATCCATAGAGAAAGGACTCAGACTAGGATCAAACCATGATGTCCATGGTGGAAAGCAGCAGTGTCACAAACTACATCAGCATCCAGGCAGCTTTTCTGACTTTTTAACAGTTAGTTATACTAGATAGCCTACATGCCTGCACAACTAATCTGAAATGAATTGCTAAATTTTTCAGAACATAAAAATCAAGAAAAAATAATCCTCATGGTTTATATACGATTAGATTTAAGGCAATAATTTTGAACATCAGACTCTTTTCTTGCTGCAAGTTTCTCTTGTTGTGAATGGTTCAATAAAGCAGTTACTCCCAGGCACACAGAAACAAACAAACACACTGCAATGGCCAATATCTTTGGGTACATTTATGGGGATATTCCTATGTTGCATTTGCTACATTAATAAAAAGGTAGGATTTACCCATTATAACCTACAACATTGTTCCTTGGTTAACTGTATGTAGTTTTACTTCTTTCCCTTCTAGCTCTCTTTTTGTGCAAATATTTAAGGAACACATTTCTATGTGCATTTTACTATTTAATAATTACCTTAGAAACAAGTGTATACGGTATGTAAAGCGTTCTAGAAAAACTTTAGTCCAATATTATATATATATATATTTTTACATTTCAAGTTGAAAGGTTAAGGAATCTGCACCCTTATTCATCTACTATCAAAATTATATATAATTTTTTATGATCGTAATAGTTACAGTTTTTAAGAATGTGAGTCATGCTATTAACTATAATCTAATAACATTTTAAATAAGTTGTCTTTATGACTGTTAATGACACCTTTCTACTCAAAATACTGACTGAAACTGACCCAAATAAAAACATTTTATATCATCTTTATAATAAGTTCCACCAGTTTCTTTAACGATGTATAAGTGCATCTGTTCTTATTGTTTCTGATGGATAGAAAAAAATTGGTTTCTTGGCTAAATAATAACTCTCTTACTAAATTTAAACAGCTTCATCACATCCCTAAACTGCAGGCACTGCTGCCACGCAGGGGAAATAACTGGAAGAAAAGGAAATGTAACTGGATGCCTGGAGAGCTTCATCAATAATGGAAACTCTTCAAACAGGAGTGGGTGCTGCAGGAGTGGCAAAAAGTTTATTTTGGTTTGCTCACCATCACTCTGTGAAGATGTCTCCTCTCCTCTGGTCCATAGATGCCACAGGGACGAAGCACGCAGGTCTGCAGCGTTCCTCCACCTGTAGACATTAGTGCAAAAATAAATATGCCTGTTTATTTTTTGGGGGGTGACAATCCAAACACAGGGCCTGCATGCCATGTAATACAATATGCCGACTGGGAGTTAGGTTTGAACATTTGACTGCCATGCAACGATGCATTACCAAGAAGCATGCAAATAGTACAAATAAAAACAAAAAACATTATAAATGCTTAGGGTTGAGACAGGTTTTTATTCAATCTGAAAGTCAAATAAGAATCATATCTCTGAGGGCAACAACAGAGCATTAAAACAAGAGTACCAAAGAAATATAATGTAAATCTTTTTGTTTATTTCCATCGCCCTGCTGTTGAGGTGACCTTTTGCCAGTGGAAAAAACTTCCTCTGATAGCAGATACATGCATGTTTACTTGCGGTATATAATGTGACACCTGCATGCTTTATGCTTAATTAAATGTATGGGATAATGATGACCCACAGTGTGTTGGATTACACTGAAGAAAAGAGTAGATTTTACATTTTACATTTCCATGCAAAAGTATAATTTCCCAGTGTAACCTTGAAAAAATGTGAAGAGGAAGGAAATGGGTGTTTATCTTTTTTTTCATCTCAATAATAATCTGAAAAGTGCAGTGCTAAAATGTTTAAAACAGGGTTGGAATACTAGAAAAATAATTCAAGCTTTGGATATCTTACAGGGTTCTTTTTAATCTATTATTTGAAAATGAAAAAAAGTTTGAAACAACTGCTAACCTACCAAAGCTACCAAACTAAACATAAGAAGCTTAGAGTCATATTTGTAGCAGGATTACCGTAAATACACTACAAAAACGATCTAGAAATAAATAAAAATGCCTTGTTTATTTAGCCTTAATTTCAGTAGGTAAATAAGAGTATTTGCCAATGGAATTAGTTTTTTTACTCTTAAAATAAGCTAATTTGATTATATGCACTAGAAATAAGACAATGCTATTGTTTCTTATATTAAATGCAAATTGTCTTGTTCTATTGGCAAAGTATCTTACTTACCATCTCAATTCAAGAAGAAACACACAAATTTTAAGAAAAAAAATGCTTATTTATATTTCCCTTTTTTTTAAAGTTAAATGAGTTAAATTAGTTCAGTTAAAACTAAATATTTGCCCAGACTTGAAATACTTCCAAACATCCTGCTTCTAACTGATTTTATTCTCTTTTAGTTTTGCACATAAACACATATCACACCTTTCACAGAGGATCCATTAGCCGAGAGCACCATGCGCTCTGCCACTGCTTTAGTTCTGGAGTAGTGATCAATGTGCTGTAATAAAATAAAGATTCCTTCAATGTCTCAGTGTTACTATAAACACCTCAGGTATAAGATTCCACATGTCACCACAGCTCACCAAATCACTGGGAACGTATGGCGCTGACGCCTCATCGCCATCCACAATCGGTTTCCCAGCAAACACCACATTGATGGTGCTGGTGTACACCAGCCTGGGAATGCCTCTTTCTTTACATACTAAAATAAAAAAAGATCACACAACATAATGAAGCTTCCTAGCAGATGCTGGATGCATGAAATCCTTTCTCTGATTCCAGATATTTAAGCACAAGTCAAAAGTTTATGCAGGATTTGTGGAGAAAGATTGCTCACCATTTATGACATTACTGGTTCCTCCAACGTTGACAGACTCCACCTGCTCCTTCCTTAACTGGATGGTAGGAAACAGAAGAGAAATGATGTTACTTAGATGGATCATTTATTAAGGTCTGCACAACAAAGGAAGATGCATGTGGGGAAAAAATGCTTCTTTTACTGGATTTTACAGGAGGAAGTAGCAGCCATAATCAGAAAACTAATTAATTCAACTTTGATAGTTTGTATATATGTGGGTGTTAACACATTTTCAAACTGGGAAGACAGCATTGACCTAAAATAAGTAACTGCGATTCTAATTCAAACTTTGAAAGTCTTAAAGAAAGGTTATTCAAAAGAGAGAAGCTTTCAAGCCAATCTTTCCAAAGGGAGGAAGTCCTGAAAAATCCCAATGGGATCAGATCGTGTAATATACCAATGATGATCAAACAAAAGCTTTGAACTACATTCAAAATTTTACAGGCCCCACTCATCTTTTCGTAAATAAAAAACGAAAAAGTATTAATTGCTAATACAAAGGTCTTTTAGCAAAAGAAAACAGGAAATATTACTTAGAAAATCTTAAAACATTACATGTCTTATCTATTATGTGGTGGAGCGCTGAATATTTAGGTTCGCTTTAAAGCCACATGGTCCTGTCACCTTGCAGTAATTGAGTTGACCATGAATTCCTTTTAAAAAGGATTACAGAATTATAATTACATTTGAAGCCATTGATCAGATCGGAGAGAAATGATCTGAAACACACATATAAAGTTTTCATTATTTTCACCTTATGCCCACCGATAAACCTTTGAGGGCCTCACAGAGCACCTGGATTTATACTGAGATGAAATTACACACAAGCAGACTCTATTTACTTATCAGGTGACTTCTTAAAGCAATCGGCTGTACTGGGTTTTATCGTTGGGTATCACATCAAAATGAATATGTGCGCGGCCTCACTTTTCAGATTTGTATTTATAAGTTTTTTATTATTTTTTTTTTTATCATGTCTCAATTTCCTTTCACTTCTCTGTCACAACGCCTCCCAATCAGACAAACTGAAAATCCTAGAAAGGTTCAAGGCACATAAATGCTTTCGCATGTATGAGTTCAATAACAAACATAACTTTCCACTAAGGAATGAGCTCACATGTTTTTGAGGCATCTCAACTCACGTTTCGTGATGCTGGCCACATCTCAACGACACCAACATAGGAATTCAGACAACATTCTTTACAGGAAGCGCAGCACCTCTCGTGAAAAGCGCTAACTTTCCTAGTTATATTTCAAACTAAAATCTGCACTCCCTCTTTTCATTAGCACTTTGCTGTGACTATAACTAATAACCCCCAAATGTTTGTGTCAGCCCAGTGTTTTATTTTCTGTTTTATGACTAATCCAGTGGGAACATCTCTTCATTCATACAGAGGCCAACACCTTGTCATTCAGGTTGGAGTACTTCATGGTTGTAAGGAAAATGAGTTAACAATTAAGAGGCTTGCCTGCCTGCTATGCTGCTATACCTTTTAGGTACATTCAGAAAGACTAATTGTAGCTCATGTATAAATGGTGAGAGGGTGGATCACCTGCTCTGGCCCAGACATGCCATAGGATGCTGTGTGAAATATGCAGTCGACTCCTTCACATACTTTGTGCAGAGAGGAATAGTTCCGAATGTCGCTCTGCAGAAGACAGTAACAACAATGTTGAGATTATTTTTGCTATCTGTTCAGATAAAGCAGAAAAATCTGTTTGAGGCTGCAAATTCTGTTAAAGTGATAAATAAAATAGAAAAATCCAGAGTCAATTTTTATTAAAGTAAGCCAGCCAACAGGGGTGTGCAGGTGAAACCTGAACCATGTCTCCACCCTCTGTGACCCAGCCGGCAGCTGCTGCCCTGAACCAGATCACTCACCTGGGTCTGTTTCCAGCCGGTGCACTGAGGTAGAAACGGTAATACTAGAACTCTATTTCACAGCTAAACAGAGATGTATGAGTATTTCTGTTTGCATAGGCTTTAAATGCAAGAGAACAAATATTAGAAACCAAATCAGAAAACAAATAAGAAATTAGACAAATCATTTCAAGTACATATATGGATAAATAGAATTGGAATCAAGAGCAAGAAAATAGAGAAATAAATAATGAAAAAATTAATAAACCTTTTAAAAAATCATAAAAAAGTACAAGTGCAAACAATAAAACAATCTAGAATTAAATGATCAGATCATTACTATAAAAGCATACATTACAAATTATAAATTGACTTTTGCTTAATAAAAAACTTTAGAATGTTATTAAGCCTGAATCATATTAATTATATTATGTAGTGAAAGTTTATTATAAACAAGAAACCCCAAACATAAGAAAAGATTTCCTATTTCTTAAATGTAGTTCATAAAAAGTGCCAAAAGTAATTTAATCATTTATCAGTACTATGGCTGCAGGATGTTGTTTTTTTATAACCAGTGGAAAAGTTATAGGGGAAAAAAGGCATGAATATAGGAAAAGCAGAATGTAAACTTTCTCTTTAGGGTTACCTGAAAGAAGATGGCTCCATCAGGAATATCCCAAGGAGGCTTGTTCACATCCAGAAGGATGACTGTCATCCCCTCGCTGGCCAGCTCTTTCCCCAGCCTAAAGCCAAAATATCCCGCTCCTCCTGTCACCAACACCTTCTCCCTGTGGCCGTCCCAGCCCGCTGCTCCCACCTGTCCCAGTCTGGAAGCAGCACAGTTGGGGCTGTTGCAGGCACCAGTCGTGGCCCCGCTGACCCTGTGGCGGAGAGCCGGAGCAGTCCCAGAGGAAGCCACCGAGGAAGCATCGCTCAAGCACGGCTTGTGAGGGAGGTTTGAGTGGTTGTGTGTGTGATGTCCACCAGCCTGCAGGCGGAGAAGCTGGATGCTGTGGCAGGGTAGCTGCTTCACCTGGCACAGGGAGGCTGCACTCTCACCCATGTTGGGGCTGTACAGATCTACAGACATCCTTATGGAGAGAAACAGGAGTACTGGTTATTTACTGCAGCAAAATATTTGTATGTATTTTGCTGCATATGTATGTTCCCTTTTTCTCAAAGATAAACTTTTTCACACTAGCACATTTAGATATATTCTAAGTTTAGTATCTCAGAGAGGGAGCTTACAAGTTAAACCTCTTTTTTTGGCACAATTGCAAATACATCTTCATAGCATTCATTTTAAATTACATACCAAAAAAACTAACAGTAGCTTCCCAGAAGATGTATCCTGCTAAATGAATTCAGAATTCTGCTTCAGTTTTTTGTTTTTTTTTTTAAATAGTTTTAAGCTGCTGGAAAAATGTGTCTGATGAATTGACTCACCTTATTGTGTTTCTCCTTGCCTAACATCCGTAGCTCTGCCTGATAAAGAAATTCCAGCTCGGCCGTATCTGTGGGCCCTCCCAAAGCTCCACCCTTCGGCCAGCCCTGCAACCACCTGAAAGATCTTCCTCTCGTAATGTTTGGAGGAAGACAACATTTTCTGAGAAAAAAAAAACAGCACCTCCTCCATGATGTCACAGGCCAACATTTGACTAGAACGTTATCTATATGACATGTTTTGTGATTGTTTAATCACAGATTGAGTTGGAATAGAAATAGCACTTATTTATCTACTAACTCATCTGGGGTTTCCTAAAACTTGGGAGTTGAAGGTAAAATGTTTCATAAAGTGTATTTAAAGGTTTATTATCTCATCTTAAAGACTTAATTAGGAGATCACGCATAAGGACTCCGATAACTTCAGAAACCAGCTGGAAAATCCTGCTGAGCCAAAAATTATACATATAACACAATCTGCAGTAATTTATCTCCTTGACCCACACTATTGCCTGACACCATGCAAGCATCACCAGACCTGATACGTTACCTGATTTAAAAATAGTCCCAAAAAAAATTGTACCTGCAGGTGATTTAATGCTTTGACCAAGTTGCTATAATTATTATTAATATTCTCACAGATAAAAATGTGTTTTGAGTTCAGAAACCTTCTGTTACTTGAAGATGAAATGTCCAAACATAACAGATGTCTTCTGTCTAATCTCTTTATGTGCCGATAGCTTCCTAACAACAAAATGATTAAAATCAGGTTTATGATACAGCTTCATAGACACTGATACTGTGTTGCAAATTTTGCATTTTAATTGGAGGTCAACCTAAACTGACTGGATGGGGGGAGGAGAACCAGCCTAGAGGACTATGGCAACTCTGGAGGAGCTAGAGAGATTAGAGTAGTCCATAATCTGGTTTCAGGATTAAAAATCTAATCTTTGTTGAAAAGTTGCGAGGTTGTCAAAGTGCTGAAACAAAGCAAAAAGATTTATAAAAGGTCAGATAAATTATGAACATTATGACCTACATACACAAAGAGATATCTAAGAAGATCCAAGAAGTGGAAAGCTAATAGAGTCATTATGTAAAAAGACCTTCTGCTGAAACATGGTTCTTTAATTCAGAGACAAATGGAGCTGAACACGCTTAAGTTTTTAAAAATCTTTTTAGCAGATGCTTTTATCCAAAGCGATTTACAATGTTGGTATCAGCGTGAAAGGTCTTGCTTAAGGACCCACACAGGCAGCTCATTCTCCCTGACAGGGATTCGAACCCAGGTACTTCTGGCTTCTGCAAGTCAGGTGACTTACAACTTAAGCTAGCCAGCCGCCATATAAAGGGTCTGTCACATAATGTAAACGCATAGGAAAAAAAATCCATTAAAATCCATTAAAGGGTTGTAATATGACAAAAATAAATGGTGCATATATCCTTATACAATGCATTTTAATTAAGAGCAAAAATAAATTGGTTTGACTTAAAGCATTTGTGTTTAGATTATTATGGTGTCTATTGAAGAGCATTCAGGTCAGGATGTGTTTACACAATGTAATAAGTTCCAATTCAATTTGATTTTTGCAACATTGGCACTTGGATTTTATTTTATTTTCTCCTGGATGCAGGGATAATTACTTTTGGCTGAAAGGTGAATGCTTGCCAAACTAAACACCTTTTCAGCATATGATTATTATTTTTTTCACTGCTGTTGAGAAGGTATTTAGTTTTGCTTTGATTTCCCTCAGTATTAAGACCAATTCATCATTGCTTTTTATGATCATGACCATCTTGAATTTATGGATCTTGTTTATGATGTGAGGCAATTTGTTAAAAAATTTCCACTTTATGTTGTAGAGCCAATGATACTGCTTTAGTTTGTTCTTTTTGTATCTCAGAAAAGGAATGATTAAAAAAAATATAATATAAGAGCAAAGGTTTTCCCTCTCTGGGTTACAATAGAAACAGACCAATTTCTTTTTTTTTTTCTTTTTTTATGTTTATTTGGTAGGGACTGACACACGTCGACATAGACAAACTGAATAAAACAGCAGACCCATGTTTGCATCAAAGTGCAATAACAACAGCTAATTGTCCCTAGATGGGCTTTATAAAAGTACCACTAAAAATTTAAGTATAGTCATTTAACCTCTTAATATCCACCTCATTTTGGGAAATTCTCGCCTATTTTGCATACCCAAATGGAAAAGCAAATAACTTAGGAACTGTAAGCCCAAATTACATGTGTGATACATTATTTGAAAGCTAACACCCTCTAGCTTCTGAATATATACATGAAAATTGGGTGAGTAAAACATCCAAGCTGCATCAGTTTAAACATGACTCAAAGTTGTTTTTTTATTCTCGAAGATAATAGGTCTTTTATGAACAGTAGTTATAAAGACTTGCTTGCTTGTTGTGGCTGCTTTGTCATGGTACATTTTTACATGCTGCTATATCTGTGTTAATTGTGCTTTGGTGCTCGCAGTCTATAAAATAAACTAGGTGGTTGAATTGTGGAGAATCTAAGCTTTCCAGGAATGTCTAACATGTCTATATGGGTGTAATTTTCATGCATTCTGAGTTATTTTTTGTAAACGCTTTAAAACTTTGAGAGGTTAGACTATCATAACATTGACAACATCTACCAACAAACAGTAAAACATAAAATTGTCTTGGTAAAATCATTGTATGAATTAAAACAATTGCTGCCTGAATGATAACCAGATATCTATTTCCTTTAAACCAACGATAGTGTTTTGCTACTTCAGAATGTAAAAAGTATTAAGACAGATAAAGAAATACATTTAAAAAATACTGTCATCTCTTTTGTTAGAAGGATTGTTTCAATCAAACAGATCTACCATAATTTAGCCAAATGTCATCATGTACCTTTAACTCAACTATCTGCTGGGAAAGAGAGAGAGAGCAGTGAAAAGGAAAAAAACATGACATCAAAATAAAGTGATATATTTTGCAAGAGAAGTAACTGAACCAGAGCCAAATGAGAAGCACTTCCTGAGCTCAATGTTTTTGGAGACAACAGAATTAGAGGCTTCATGTTTTATTTAGCTGGCAGCCGATAAGCAGCTGATCCTGAGCTGACGGCTGAATACGCTGCGAGTAATTAAAGAAAGCATTAATGATCAAAGGATCTGAAGCAATTTAAAGCTATACAGCAGAAGCAATAAATATATAAGCATTTGTTTAAAATAAACTCACTTTACAAACAATTGTAACAAAGGAGATAATAGTATTAAGGAGGAAGGAAAAACATTACATGCTTTTTGTTTGTTTTTTATAAATAAAAGAAACTGTAGGTTGTGTCTTTCATTTGTGTTTCGTTCCCTTCACTCTGATTACCCTGAATAAAATCTAGTTTTGCTGTTAACTTTTTTATAATCTAATCCAACAAATCCATCTTTTCTATTAAGGCCTATGAGGTTTGTGAAAGAACAAAAATAAAAATGAAAAAATATGAAAGATTGAGAAACATAGTAGACAGGTCAGGCATAAATCTGTGGAGATGTTTAAAGCAGTGTTATAAGGAATCTTCTAGGCTTCAAACATTTTACGTTTTGTTTCCTTGTTTTTTGTTTTTTTTTATGAGGTCTGCAAGAAGAAAACAAGAAAAGATAAAGTCCTGTTTTGGAAAAAGTCATAGCAAGAATGCGTTAGATCGGACTAAATAACATTTTTATGTGTTAAGGAACATTAACACTGCTCTTAAATATAATAATGCAACATGAGCAAAATCTCAACCAGGGTCTTTTTTAAAGATGTATTACTTTAAATATAGCTCCTGCATTAAAAACTATAAAGAAAAATGCAGTGGTTTATGAGTAGGTCCCTTAAAGTAAAACTCCCCTTTAAACTGGGGGAAGATTCCGTGTCCGGCAGAGCAACAATCCTTAACATACCGCCAGATTTTCCATTATATGGTTTAAATTAACAAAGCATATTCATTATTAAGAGGAACATAGGATGGCTAATCATAATCTGTGGGTTGAAAATTAAGGTACACAGATGCATTGCAACTGAGAGTTGCAGCGTTGATTTTAATGAAAGCTTGTTACACAAAGGACTTAATCACACTGGGTGCATACAAATGGCTTTGTAGATGTTTATTTGTAGATTATTGAGTGGACAAAGAGAGGATAAATTGAGATATTGTCACACTGGGATTATTTCATGGTCTCAAGCTGTTTTATATTTTCTGTGTTCCCTGGTCTTCATGGTTGTGGTTTTTTTTTTTCTTTCATAAATGATCTCTGACGTTTGTGACCTTTATAGCATGGCTGGATTTCTACAGAAATAAAGTTGTACACAGGTGGACTCTATTTGGGAATTAATTGTTTAAAGGCAACTACTTGCAGTGGATTGTATTTAGGATAAAAATAGAAATAATGGGACTTATATACAAAGACTTACTACCTTTCTTATGGCTTTTCTTGCAATATCCAATTGTGCCCTACATTATTTTGGTCTGTGACATTAATCCCTATGAGATTTATTGATGTTTGTGGTTATAGCATTTATAAATCTGATGATGCTCATCCAAAAAATTGTACAAACAGTTGGAGCTGAGGTCCTTTGTGTCCCATTAAAACATTGTAGTCACTGTAGTTTTTTTTTTTAACACTATTAAACCACTATGGACCTGCTCTATTGACCGTTGGAGCTAAAGAAGTTCTGTACTGTCTGTCTGCTGCTGCTCACTTGTTATTTTAGCTCTCGGTGTGACTGAAGTGGAGTTGAGTTTCTCCCTCATTAAATGTTCTGCTCAGCTGTGAATCACGGTCTGCAGGGAGCCGTCACCCCGGCTGACCCTCTCACTGGGAGCAGTGCTCAGGTGCGGCCGCATCTGTCAGAGAGTGATAAATCTGAAATCCAAGTAAAGAGTGGAGGCTAAAACCAATGGGGACATAAAAGATGTATAAAGGATTGCTTTAAACCACTAAATTCGTATAGGCATAACAGTACAAAAACAAGCATTTTAATTTCTATGTATTAATTAACACACCCGGCAACAGGGGGGGACACAAGGTCAATAGTCCCAGGCCCGGGACAGAGGGGGGC